TTGTAGAGACAGGGTCTGTGTTGCCCAGGCTGGTCTCGAAATCCCAGCCTCAAGTGATCCTCCAAAAGTGCTGGGATTAAAGGTGTGAGCCACTCTGCCTGACTTAAGTTGAATCTTGGATTTGATGTGGATATTCTCTGATCTCTATTGTTCACTTATTTGTGGCAATCAGAAGGCATTACAGTTAATTATCAGTTATGCCTAGGAGCTAGGTAAGCCCAAATAAATCATATATAAAAATAAGCTATAATTTTGTCTACAGTGACTTCAACTTAATATACCCACGGACAAAGAAAAAAGTGGGCAGATATCATTACTTCCTTTCTTTTACTTTCTTTTTTTTTTGTTTTGAGACGGAGTCTCACTCTGTCACCAGGCCAGAGTGAGGTGCAATCCCAGGTCAATGCAACCTCCGTCTCCTGGGTTCAAGTGATTCTCCTGACTCGGCCTCCCGAGTAGCTGAGATTACAGTCACGTGCCACCACACCCAGCTAATTTTTGTATTTTTAGTAGAGACGGGATTTCACCATGTTGGCCAGGATGGTCTCGATCTCTTAACGTTATGATTTGCCCACCTTGGCCTCCCAAAGTGCTGGGATTACAGGCGTGAGCCACCACGCCCAGACTATTTCCTTTCTTTTTCTAATTTTGCTTACTGCATTACAAAACTGGCAAGCAGTGAAATTTGCCAAACATGACATTATGAAGAAACTGAAGCAAAGACTGGTTTAATAGCAAAGTAAATAACCAGACTTTTTTTCACTTCCTTCCTCACAACTCACTCTTAAATTACTAATGTAGATTTTATGTATATTAAGTAGCTTAAAAAGACCCAATCGGCCAGGCACAGTGGCTCATACCTGTAATCCCAGCACTTTGGGAAGCCGAGGTAAGTGGATCACTTGAGGTCAGGAGTTCAAGACCAGCCTGGCCAACACGGCAAAACTGTCTCTACTAAAAATATAAAAATTAGCCAGATGTGGTGATGCATGCCTGCAATCCCAACTACTAGAGAGGCTGAGGCACGAGAATCATTTGACGCCGGAAGGTGGAGGTTGCCATGAGCTGAGATCATACTATTGCACTCCAGCCTGGGTGACAGAGTGAGGTTCTGTCTCAAACAAAAAAACAACAAACCCAATTTATCACGTCTCTCTAGCACTAACTGGAGTACAAAATCAAACAGACGAATTCCTTCTAGACTGATATTTTAGAAACTAAAATGTCAAAAATGTAACGAAATTCAGCTGGTAAAGTCAGTCTTGATATATTTGTTATATATTTTTCAGGAAAGTCTGATTGAAGAGGAAACTGGGCAGAAGAAGATTTAAATCTATTGGGCCAGAAGGAGTGACCATTACTAACATGGCTTGAGTATAATTCTGACATTGAAAATTTATAACCCATTAAATACCTGTAAATTGTGTGAATTTCAGAAATCCTTACACCAAGTTGCACATACTCCATAATAAAGTGCTGTGTTGTGAGTGAAGTGGCATACCTGGTTAAATCTTTCTCCAATTCAGAATTCCCGGGGAAGGGGTACTGTAAGCCCAAAAAAGGGAGCCCTCCAGGTGTGTATACAGGTGGCAGATGGGAGGGCAGATGAGATAAAGTGTCTGTTGTTGACAGCAGGGATCTCAGGCTCTCCAGCACCCCTACCCTGCATCTGTCCACAAGCAGAATAGCCACACTACTGGTCCAGCCAGAAAAAGCTGATTCAGCTCCAGTTTCTATGGGATTATAACTTTATCTTTGACTATACTCTACAGAAGTTGAGGTGGGGCCACAGCCAAGGCTTTCTCCCACTTGGAAAGAAGTTCCCTCCCTTGACTGTCTCCAAACCCTTTGAAAGTTTAGTGGAACCCAAGTGAGACCTGGAGGTAAGGAGGAGAGGGCCTCCAAGGGCTCCCAGTCCAGTGCTCCTTCTGGTCCCACGCAATCTGTCCACATGGTGTACACTGAGGGTTGGGACTGAGACCTAAAAATAGTAAGAGTGTTCTTCTGCTTGATCTGTTTGATTTTAAGAAACACAGTGGAGTACACAGACTGTTGGAGACGGGACTCTTGTTCCCATGTCCCCTGGTCAGATAGCATTGCCACCATTCTTTCTCCAAAAAGACCAGGAGCAGGTTTTGTGCTAGATATGTGCACAGATATTTTTACTAACCATCGTAAGAACCTTGGATTGTAGTTAGTATTGGCTTTGCTTTAAAATGAGGAAACTAGGGCTCAGAGAGTTTAGGAGACCCAGCCATGTTTGGTTCCATGTTCACTGTTCCAGTATTGCCCTATGATGAGCAGCCAACAGAACTGGACTTTGGATGCTGGGTTATTTTGTCCATTGGAGCTGAAACAGGAAACTAGGGTTCATAGGTCAATGTAGATTTAGCAATGACTAATCCTCCATAAGGCCCCAGACACTATGACACTGATGTTCTCATTTAGCCGCATCACTTCCAAGTGGCTATGAGACCATTGGAAAAAAAACAAATTTCAGATAACTTGCCCAATGTCTCAGTAACAAACTGACCTGTCAAAGATCTAAGCCCTTTTCCTCTTTTAATCAAATGAACTCGCCTCCCTACCCCCTACCCTGCTCCCTCAAAAAAGGAAAGACTTATGCTAAGAGATCTGAAAGGGGTGAGAAACATCCTGTGGGGGAAAACCGCCTCTTTTTAATACAAGTATTTGCTACTGCACAATGACAGATTTCCCAAATACCTCCATTGGAAGAGTCTCTAAAGTGGAATCAAATAAGTTCTTCACTCTGTCTTTAATAAAATTAGGCAATGATGTGATCCACAGTCTGCTTTATGAAACAAAAGCAAAACTGCACTATTTCACTAATCAATACATGTGAGCAAGATGAGAGGCTTCCATTAGCCAATTACCCAGTGACTACATATATATATATATTTTAATGAAAACAGTATACTTTACAATCTTCACATTACTTAACACATTAACAAAAAGCAACACACCCACTTAACTTACACATCCTGCTTGAAGCGTCAGATTTCCTTAGCCAAAGTTTGTCTTTGGGACAGTTTCTTTAGGGCCAGCTGCAGGCCTCCCTTGAATGGGATAAAAAGATGTCATCCAACTGCCTGATGCTGATGTTAGAGGCTTTCAGGAGGTACCCTTGATTCTCAAATGGCCCAAATAACTAAGGAGAAGGAGGAGAGTGAAAATGGCCAGTTGGAAGCTGAGCATGGTGGCTCACACCAGTTCCAGTTACTGAGGAGGCTGAGGCATAAGGATCGCTTGAGCCCATTTCGAGGCTGCAGTGAGCCATGATTGCAACACTGACTTTAGCCTGGGCAACAGAGTGAGACCCCATTTCCAAATGAAAATGGCCTCCTTATAAAATCATAAACACTTCCCTGAATCTGAAGACTCTAACTCATCAATGTAGCTTTAAGAAAAAAAAAAAATCCTAAGCCTTTTATAATAAAGGGTAGGGAAACATATCATTTAATGAGATGAGTTCTCAAATGCATATGGCTTTAAATGATCAAGTAGTAAAAAGAATGGTTCGAAAATATATCATTTTAGCAAAACTTTTAGAAGTTGCAGTAGCTTACAGATGACTAGAAAAAAAGCCAAGAATCACTGCATAAGATAATAGCACTTAGATCTTGACAGAGGAAGACACTTTATAGTATTTCTCAATGGGGATCTTAGAGCCAAAAGATTACCCAGATCTGTCAATTTAGTATTTAGGGCCCAAATTCTGTGCTGTTTTCAAGAAGCATGATTCTTATAAATCATATGAACACAGTGAAGCATTATTGCTTCTAAAAAACAAAGTACTAGAACACTTTTTTTTTCTTTTTTTTTGAGATAGGGTTTCACTTTGTCACCCAGGCTGGAGTGCAGTGGCATAATTACAGCTCACTGCAGCCTTGACCTCCTGGGCTCAAGTGATTCTCCCACCTCAGCCTCCCAAGCAGCTGGGACTACAGGCAGGCACCACTGTGCCCAGCTAATTTGTTTTTATTTTTTGTAGAGCCTTGACTTCCCGGGCTCAAGCAATCCTCCTACCTCAGCCTCCCAAGTAGCTGGGACTATAGGCACGCAGCACTGTGCCTGGCTAATTTTTAAAATTTTTTTGTGGAATCAGGGTCAGGGTCTTACTCTGTCACCCAGGCTGGAGTACAGTGGCATGATCAGGGCTTACTGTTGCCTCTACCTCCTGGGCTTAGGCAATCCTCCTGCCTTGGCCTCCCAAAGTGCTGAGATTACAGGCTTGAGCCACAGCTCCTGGACAGAACACTTTCTTGGGGGTTAAAAATTGTAAGTTGTAAGCTCAGGACTAAACAGTGGTGCTAACTAATACAAGCGTGACTGCCCCTTTCCTCTCTCCAACTTGACCCACCACCAGCAGGGATTTTATGAAACACACTTTAAATACCAATTTCCTAAAGTCTTATTTCCTTTATGTGGTGGTTTTCTAACCTTGGTCTAGCATTGGAATAACATGGGAGGGACTTTAAAGAAATGTGGATGCCTGGATCTTACTCCCCACCCTTAGAAATTCTGATGTAATTGGTCTGGGAGTGGCCTCTCCCCAGTGATATAAACATTCAACCATTTTAGAACCAGTTCCTATCCTTTTCATGTAAGTTATTAGATATCCCCTTTAACCTTTTTATTTCTTTCTTTACCTGTCTAAATATCTGTGGGGAATGGGTAAAGAAACAGAACCTACGTACATTAAATGAATTGCTATCAGAAAATTGTCAGCCCAGATAGCAAAAAAAAAAAAAAAAAGACAGAAGGGTGAAAAGAACCAAGTGGTTTGTGATTTTTCTTATTTCTGGGCAAAGATGACTCCAGGGCCCCACAGTGCAGGTTTAACCTAATAGGACCTGTAAGGAAACAAGCCAGAAAAATGCTAGGTGTGATGTGTCATGAAAGAGGCGTGGGTAAGGAAAAACTGCAAAGTTCAGGAATGATTTCATTAACATAAGGGCAATAACAAACTAAACACACAATAAGCTTTAAAATACATTTCCATTTTTAATTTAAAAAATAAATAACAGCAAATCTGAACAAAATTTTCCTACTTCAATGCACATCTTCCTAACTGTCCGTGTTTGAAACCCAGATAGCTACAAAATCATGGCAAAGGCATTTTGACAAAGTTTAGATGAACAACTCACAAAATACGGCTAATAGTAGATGAGTTTGACCATCTGATACTGCAGACTAACCTTGGCTAGATCCTAGGTGTCAGAGTGAAATCATGAATTTCCTTTTGTAGATTAGAATTGATAGTCCAACTCTCAACCCACCCAAACAGAAACTTACCTTTTCCAATTTAATTGTAAAAGCCAGACATATCATTGAATGAAGGTATCTAAGAAAGTGATATTTATCAACTTCCCAAATGATACAGAGAAGGAAAGCATAATTATTAAAATGAACCTAAAGTCTAGATACAGTGGGCCAGGCTGGTGAAACCTGAGACTACTATGGAAATTGACATTGTTTATAAGATGTTGCACAAATTATGGTAATCTGTGTCAATATTTCAATGTGTGCTGGATTATTACTGGCATATTCATAATTTTAATGTCCACAAACCTTTTTATCTTAACAGCCAGGGTATGGCAGGGTCAAAGCACCACTTGGGATGATAAATGGGACAAGTATAGTCCATGGACCTCAAAGCCTTTGTACAGAAAATTAAGTTTCCTTCAAATCCTCCCCCTCTTTTTGTTTACCGAGAATAAAACCAGCTAAGGCTGAAGGAATTCTAAACCTCTGGTAGCTTCAAAATTAAAAAAAAAAAAAAAAGAGAGAGAGAGAGGCCCAGGAACTGACTACAAATTGACTCTTTAAAAAGTACACGATCTTTATAGCCTTGTTTTGTGGGTAGGGTTTTTCTCCCCTTTTTATTATACCTGAGAAGTATGAGAAAGGAAGCCACAAATTTGAAAGGCCTTCTAAATACCTTTCGCAAAATGGCGCCATGGGCATGTGGGAACCTTGTAGGGTGCTGAAAACAGTGTGTGTCTGTATCTTAGAGGCAGGGACATGGGCAGATCGCTATGTGAAAATTACCCATCTGCATGGCTAAGATTTGTGCACTTAACTGTATATGAGTTCCATCTAAATTTTAAAATAAGAAATTAGCCAGTGACCTAGGGGCAACTAGAGGAGAAGGACTCTTCCAGCTTGGAAAGAGTAAATAAAGGTAGATTGCTTTCCCAAAACCTGCTTTACATCTTGTTTTACATTATGAATTTGCAGTGTGGCTGCAGTTTTTAATGGGTTTCCCTGGCAGGAGAAAATGACTGCAATTCTGGAATCAGAGGTTTAAGGTGGAAGAGGAGGAAGCAACCCATGGCCCAGCAGTCTTATTTAGGGTTTCATTTTCATCTAGTACCACTCCCTTTCCAGTGCTACAGCACACCACAGTGAACTGTCTTTGTATACTGGGGCTGTTTCCATTGAACACACTCAACCGCTACATCCCAAGGGACTAGTACCATGACTGGCATTCCATAAGAACTTGATATATGTTGAATACAACAATTCTTTAAAAAAAAAAAAAAAATCTTAGAGCAAGTCAAGTCACTAGAACAGAGAGAGAGAGGAAATAAAGATTTTAAAACACCTCCAACCATAAAGCAGTGTTCACAAAAGTTGTGACAATTTTAGGGCTAATTTCAATGCCTTTCAATACTCCAGAGTTCTTAGCAAGAAAAATAAAGACCAATTCTTTCTCTTTTTTCCTCCTTGCTCCTTATCTCTTATATTTAATGTAATCATGAGGTGTTTCTTTACAGTCATCCTCTTTGACTTCAGGACAGACATCAACATTACTTATGAATTTTGTCAAATGTGACTCTTCCTACCCAACAGCTTCCCTAAAAAATGAACCTTCCATCGTCCGCTGTAATCTCTTAGCCACAATACTACCTGGAATCCCTTTTGTTCAGGCAGGAGAGAGCTATTATTTCCATTAAGGTGGAAAGGAAATCATATGGAATATGTTCTATTAAAAAGAGAAGGTATCCAGACAGTGATGTATCCTATCTTCCCAGCCTCTGCTCAAAGACGAGGCTGTGGGACTCATTTCTACTGCTCTGGAAGGATAGCCTTGAGGTTTGGTTTTTTTGGTGATCCAGTTTATATCTTTCTATTTTAATGGCAGCCCAGAAAGTAGAGTGTGGCACACAAATCCCCTCTAGCCGGTCTGCTGGGTGACTTCTCAGAAGTCATGCCAGGCTCTAGGTAAGCCCTACATATCTTTCTGTTGCCTCCTCCTTTCTCTACAGCTTGAGTTCTTTCCATTTAAAATCCTCTTGAGTTCTTACTAAGTTTGTCTCTAGTCAAAAATATTCATGTAAAAGGCTTCAAAGGAAACCACCATTTGGAGAAGGGCTACATGTGCAGAACTAACTTGCACTCGCATTCCAAACTACTTTGGAAGAAAAAAAAAAGTATCAGTAATGCTCTTAAGAGAGTTCCAGTTCCTACTCAGGCCTAGCAGAGAAAAGCAAGGACCATCAGGTGAGTACCTCTTCCTTCCCATATTTCATCTCATTGAAACCTCACAACAACCCATGCAGGAGGCATTATCCCCGTTCTGGAAGGTGAGAAAATGAAAACTCAGATAATTTCAAATAATTTGTGTGAGTTTGCAAAGTTAATAGATGTCATAACTGGGATTTGAAACCAAATGGGTTTAATTCCACCAAATAGGTTTAATTCCAAAGCCCATGATTTTTCCATGCGAGCACACTGCAGGTTCTACTGGGTGGGGGTAAAGGATAACCTTTTCCACACCCCTTCTAGAATCTGCAATACACATTTCTTAAGTAATGCCTTGGACATCTCTGAGAGCTTTTTGCTTCCTTGACCCTCATGATGAACTGGTAGTTCTCTCCTAAAAGGGTGGCGGTGAAACAGGAAACACAGACGATAGGCGGGCAAATGCCAGCTCTGGCAGCGGAAATGGAAATCTCTTTCTCTGTTCTCTTCTCCTCCTTAGTGGAAAGGACTCTGGGCAACGTTGTGGGAGAGACTGCTAGCAAGTTTCCTCCAGTGTTGACCTTTGCATTCACAGTCAAAAAGCTTTCTGCTTTGCCACAAATATCTAAGTAGCATAGAAATACCTGGGACATTTCAAATATTGTTCCAACAGGGGGTAAATATTAAAGAGTTTGTCAGAGTTGTCTTCTAGAAGTTACCTGGGTATAGCCTAATTTAGCAAGCTGGGTTATCAGTAAGAATCTGTAGTACAATTTTCTATGTGTAGCCTCAATTTCCTCATTTACTAAATAAGGAGGCTGGTTGGTTGATCTTTGAGGCTTCCAGCTCCAAACGTCTAAAACTTCATGTGGCTATTTATGTATGTAATATTTGGTCACCTAAATCACTCCATTTTTTTCTTCTGAAAGGAGTACTATTAGTACCATTAGCAAGCAATCAAATTAATTCCACAATCAAGAGGAATAAATAATCAAAGAGAAATATTGCACTGTGTTCTCCAGGGTAAAATCAGGTAGCAGATGGGGCTGCTGAGTCATCCAAATGGGTTCTGGAAAAGAAGCTGCTGAATCCAGACTGGTAAGTCCCTTGTAGCCAGTGATTTGCGCTCAGAGGAGGTAACAGGACAAAAAAAAAAAAAAAAAAAAAAAAAACCGTATGTGCAAAAGGAAGAGCTTCAAAGAAGTCCGTAGGGAAGGAATGACTGCGGTGCCATGAGGGTCATTAGTCAAGAGTGTGGTGAGACAGGGAGACGGCAGCTTTCCTATGCCACAAGAAGATGGGAGTTGGGTGGACACAAGAACTCAGAGCTCACGTTTGAGTCCATGCTCTTTCAATGACAGCCACACATACCTGAAAGCAGCCAATCTCCATTAAAAATGTGTGTTCTTTTCCTCAAAGGAGACACGATAGACATCAGAAAGATAAGATTATTTCAGCTACCAAAGTGTATTTGATATCCATCTCTTCCAAGATACGATATGGGATGGGATGGGTGTGTCCACGTGAGAAAAGTACCTAAGTCTCCAGCACAGCTTTTCATAAAGCAACAAATCCTTCCGAGGAGATTCCACCATCAATGTGGAAGAACTTGTCCAGGCTTGAGCAGACCACCATGTCTCTGCGGTACAGGCTGACATTTAACAATGCTGAATGCGATCTCTTCTTTGAGAAATTCAGAGGCTGTGACTGATTCTGGAATTTCATGTGGACTGGAAGGGAGGTGGCATGGCCTCAAACTTCTATCAAAGAGAAGCTTTTGGAAGAACATAACCGGTTTTGAGCTGGTAAACATCATCCCAGATCAGGAAACGCAGCCAGCAGGGAGCCCCGTGGAATGAGGACATCGGCTGGAGGCCAGTTCTCAGGCAGCAGCTGTCTAAGGCACTCGGTGTTGCAGAGAGGGCAAGATCCTTACTGGGATCCAGGCTCGGAAGTAGGGATGCCAGACTTCCGAGCCTTTGGAGGTGGAGGGGGTGGTGCTTTGGCTTCTCTTCGTGCAGGCAGTGGGGGAGCGAGCTGCAGAAGCAGAAACACAAAATTAGAAGCAGGTCTTAGCTTTCTTCCTAATTCTGCCTTCTCCGCCCATTTCTCATATTCTGCTTTAGCTTCTAATTGATCTGAGTTTATCTACACAGGCTTTGCAAAGTGAAATGGAAAACTACACTGATTTGTCCTCATTTCCCGTGAGCTGATCAGACACACACACACACACACACACACACACACACACTCTCTCTCTCTCTCTCTTTCGCTGCTGTATCCCCAACACTTGGGTTCCTGGCGTATAGATAGGAGGCACTTAGAAGTCATTTGCTGAATGAATGAAGGAAACCCATCTAAAGTCATTTCAGAATGACTGTCCTTTACTCAGAAGTAAACTCTTCAAATGTGAAACAGAGGGCTGGGGGCAGGCAGTGGCTCACACCTGTAATCTCAGCACTTTGGAAGGCTGAGGTGGGGGGATCACTCGAGGCCAGGAGTTTGAGATCAGCCTGGGCAATACGGAGAGACTCCATTTCAACAAAAGATTAAAAAATTAGCTGGGCATGGTGGCACATGCCAGTAGTCCCAGCTAACTGAGGGGCCAAGGTGGGAGAATCACTTGAGCCCAGGAGTTCAAGGCTGCAGTGAGCTATGATCGCACTATTGCACTCCAGCCTAGGTGACAGAGCCAGACCCTGCCCCTGCCCCCCTGAAAAGGTGAACTAGAACTCATGGCTTATTTCACAGGTACCCAGGACAAGGTACAGAGAACACCTGCTCTACCTTCATCATCTGCTTGAATGTCTGTCCTTCCCATTGAAAACTTCTCTATCTCCTGTGGTTTCAGGAACGAGCCAAGGATCAACTGCAGTGACAGGTCTATGAGCAAACCTGCCCACTAAAGAGCCGGGAAAACCTGATGCTGCCTTCCCAGGAGTGGCCAGCTGTGATTTCCATACCTCAGTGGAGTTCCTCTGGCTGCCCTCATAGGGCTTGCTTTTGGGGGGAGGTGGAGGTGGGACAGGAGTGGCCGCGATTCCATCTGTTTGCAATGATGGGGAGCCTAGAAATGACACAAAGTGCAGGCGGGCAGAGAGAGGCACTGAGCAAGAAAGCTCATGGAAATGTTGCTGGCACCATAACACCTAAGCCAACCTGGTCAACCAACTTGTGGAAGCCACATTCTGTGGTTTCTGTGGATAGAATGAAGAAGACTTCCCACCCCACATCACACAGGTAATGCCCTCACCAGAAGTTTCAAGAGCTCCACAAGATGTTCTGAAGCAAAAACTTTATTTTATTTTTATTTTTATTTTTTTGAGACTCACTCTGTCGCCTAGGCTGGAGTGCAGTGGCGCGATCTCCGCTCACTGCAAGCTCCGCCTCCCGGGTTCACGCCATTCTCCTCCCTCAGCCTCCCGAGTAACTGGGACTACAGGTGCCCGCCACCACGCCCGGCTAATTTTTTGTATTTTTAGTAGAGACGAGGTTTCACTGTGTTAGCCAGGATGGTCTCGATCTCCTGACCTCGTGATCCACCCACCTCAGCCTCCCAAAGTGCTGGGATTACAGGCGTGAGCCACCGCGCCTGGCCAAAACTTTATTTTTTATTCAGGGTTTTACTATTAAGCTGAAGATGAGAACATTTTCCGGAATGTATGGTATTATTCTGTTCTCTGATATAGCTCAAGTGCTTAGGAAAATATTCACTTCATCCCAACTGTAACTGATAATCTCTTAACTCTTGGTTGACAACTGTCTCCCATCTGGCTCTGACAGATTTATCCCTCTCCCATGCCTCTGGACTATGGGTACCCGATTCTTCTCAAGTGTTGTGCACTGCTGGTTCCCCAAGCCAGACTATAAGCAGTAGATGGAATGGGTCTATTTCTTGTCCCTGTTCAGGTCTACCTAACCAATGGTTAGCTTGTAAGTTACTTGTTGTCTGTCTAGTCCCAGTGCAGATCTGCCTCATTTATACCTTCACAATTATAAAACAGACACTAATGCCCTTTGGATCACTATCCAGAAAGGTTTAATGAGTCCTAGTGGCCTCCTTGCCAAACTCCAGTCTAACTGTATAATACACGAATGCTGAATTGAACCAGTTTTACAATGGCTTTACATACATTGTGGCTGGTTTAGTTACAAAATGCCCAGGTGCATAAACATGCTCCATTCCCTAGTATAAACACTATAAGGAATACAGGAAAACTTACTTAGGGTCCTGGTGGCTTTGGGAGTGAGTGGAGGTGGGCTCAAGGGCGTTGACTGAGGAGGTGAAGAACCGTGAAATGGTGACAGCCGATTATCCATCAGCTGGAGACTCTTTGGCCTTTGTGCTTTTCTGGTTGGGCTCTAGGACCAGAGAGAAAAAGCAAAACATTTTCATGGTGAGGAAGGCTGAGCTCAACAATGCTCTCAACAGCCTTGTCTTCTGAGAAGACACTTGGAAAAGGACTTAACTAAAGGAGCGATTTTTAAGCTTACTACATTGTCATATGATGGGCACCACCCAACAGGCACTGACTAGAACCACTGAACCATAGATTATTTTCTGACTGGCCACAGACTGGATTCTGATCACAGTTGGGCTGCGTCATTTATGTGGGACATAAGCCATCCTGATTCTCAGGAAAAGGTGCTCTTGCCACATTTAACAACTTGATGTGGTTTATGGAAGGGAAAGTACCTTTTAAAAAACTTAAAGAAGAGAAATGACAATGTTTGCATTGACTCAGGGGACAGAGTGGCGAGAACCACAGCTCTAAGCATCAACCCATATGTTTACATTGTAGGTACAAGATCTTCACCAATGTTGATCTATAGACTCGAACTTCTCAGTATGTGCTCTCCTTACCACAATCTGCCATCTGACACTAACCCAGGCTACTGAGTCCTAAGACAAGGCGCATGCCAGCTTCAATCTGGGAGGGGATGGTGATGTGCCTGGGTACAGGGGAGGTGGGGCAAGCCTCCAGAGATTTTTTTTCTTTTTTGTTTTTTACCATCAAATCAGGTTCTGGTGCTTTCTCTGCAATGACCTGGGACTTGCTCAGACTCCAGTCTTTTCTCTTAAACTTGCTGATCCGGTTCTCGCTGTTCTCCTCTCTGAGGGACAAATCTTCAACTCTGGCACCTGACGAGGCCCTGCGCTCCAAAAGTGGCTCCAGGATCGAGCTATTGGCCAGGAACAAGGACAAACATCACAAACACTGATCACCTTGCAATCAAAATTCACTATGAAAGTACCAGCAGTTATGACTCTTTAGCCTACCTTTTTTTTTTTTTGAGACAGGGTCTTTCTCCCATCATTCAGGCTGGAGTGCAGTGGTGCGATCACAGCTCACTATAACTTTGACTTCTGAGTAGCTGGGGCTACAGGTGTGTACCACCATGCCTGGCTAAATTTTGTGTTTTTTTAGTAGGGATGGGGTTTCACCATGTTGGCCAGGCTGATCTCAAACTCCTGGGCTCAAGTGATCCTTCTACCTCGGCCCTCCCAAAGTGCTAAGGCTAGAGGCATGAGCCACCATGCCTGGCCTCCTCAACCTACTCTTGACCTATGACTTCACTCTCAGATTCTAAATCTAAATTTTCAATTACAACCGAACAAACATCTCAAGGTGTTAATGCACAGAAACGAGACCATCAGGTGACTGGACGAAAATATGAGTGAGTATGTTATCCCAGGAAGAGAAGATATTAATTCAATGTATAGGCAAAGACAAAATGTTTAAGAGATTCAACAGGCAGTTTTATGTAGTGGGTAACAGCACAACTCTGGAGCCAGATAGCCTGTGTTCAAATCCTACCCACAAACTACATACTACTAGAATGTAGTAATCTAAATCCCAGCACTTCTAAGAATGCATGCTAATAGGAAAGCTACATATACAAATATGTTTGCTACAGTTTTTAATAAAAATATATTTTATACTGATACAAGTTACATATTTTTGTATTAAAATATATAATGAAGTTTTATGGTTAATTGTTTAGAAAGAAGGATGCAGCTTAAATATTCTATAGTAGGAGAAGAATTAATCATGGCACATTTGTATGATGCAATGTCTATTGCCATAAAAAATGATGGTAAAAGCTGACAATAAAGATGACATGGCCGGGCATGGTGGCTCACGCCTGTAATCCCACCACTTTGAGAGGCCGAGGTGGGCAGATCATGAGGTCAGGAGTTCGAGACGAGTCTGGCCAATATGGTGAAACTCCTCTACCAAAAATACAAAAATTCACCAGGCGTGGTGGTGGGTGCCTGTAGTCCCAGCTACTCGGGAGGCTGAGGCAGGAGAATCGCTTGAACCCAGGAGGCAGAGGTTGCAGTGAGCCGAGATTGCACCACTGCACTCCAGCCTGGGCAACAGAGTCTCGGAGTCTCCGTCTCAAAAAAAATACACACATAAATAAAGATTACACAGCAACATGAAAAGTGCTTATAATAATAAGATGAGAAGGAACAGCAAAGTACCAAACTATATCTATGCTATAATTGGAGCTATGTAAAGATATCTATTTCAATGGAAAAGGATGTATAATTTAAGAGATACTACATATTTGATTTCCAGGTAGGGTGGCATTCAGGAAGGTTATTTTTATGATGTAATTATTGTATTATGAAATTAAACATTTGTGAAAAAATGGTGAGTCAACTGATAACTTACAGTCAACACTATTTTAAATACTTAATGATGTATAAATATTCATCACCTATATTAAATTAAGCAGTAGGCCACACAATGACAGATGCAATGCTTTTCCACTTGTATAAAAAGTAAACATACTTTTTTTGGTATTATATAACTGAACTTTAACAGTGGTTATCTTTGAGTGATAAAGTAATAAAGCATTGTTTTCTTTTAAAAGTTTCCAGTACTTGGCCAGGCGCTGTGGCTCACGCCTGTAATCCCAGCACTTTGGGAGGCCAAGGTGGATGGATCACAAGGTCAGGAGATCGAGACCATCCTGGCTAACAGGGTGAAACCCTGTCTCTACTAAAAATACAAAACATTAGCCAGGCGTGGTGGCGGGCGCCTGTAGTCCCAGCTACTCGGGAAGCTGAGGCAGGAGAATGGCGCAAATAAACCTGGGAGGCGGAGCTTGCGGTGAAGGGAGATCGCGCCACTGCACTCCAGCCTGGGTGACAGAGCAAGACTCCGTCTCAAAAAAATAAATAAATAAATAAAAATAAAGAAAAGTTTCCAGTACTTTAGCAATATATTATTTAAAAATAGTAATCTTAGCAGAAAGAACATGACTATAAATTAACTCCTTTCAAATATTTTAAATTTGAACATATGGAAAGGCATTTTATGTTTTTGGCAAGGCAGCCTCAGCATCAAAAAGCCATCAGTCTTCCTAAAGTTAGTCCATACATGTAACATGATCCTAATAAAAATAGCAACAGGATTCTAGACAAGTTAATCCAACAGTGATCAATGAGTGCCACTAGCCAGATTAAATTCTGAAAAGGAGTATTAGGAAATAAAAAATGTTTTCTATCTATGATAATTAAGATTGCATAGTACTGATACATGAGTAGACAGGTAAATCCAAGAAATAGAAAAAAAGAAAGTCCACAGACTAAAGAATATGTGGAAATTTGATTTTTTATAAGATTGACATTTCAAAAAAAATGACGTGTTCACTAAATGTTATAAGAAGAATGGAGTAGCCATTCAGAAATAAAAATGTTGGCTCCATACCTAACATCTTATATTAGAATAAATTCTAAAGGATTACAGACAAAATTGTGAATAATGAAACCCTAAAAGTCAATGAAAAAAACAGTACCTTTTTTTGTTATCTTAGAGTGGGAAAGGCCTTTAACTGTGAAATAAAATCCAGAACCCATAAAATAAAAGATTGATTATATGACTACATAAAAAAATCAGTGCAACTCAATAAAAAATTAGAAGCAACAAATTAGAAGTCAGAAGATAAAGGAGAAATTAGGAGAAAACATTTCAACTCATTTCACAGACAAAGGGCCAACAATTCAACAGAAAAAAGTATTTGACCACAGGTCACAGAAAATAAAACATAAACAAATGAAAAGATGTTCAACTTCAGGCAAAATGAGAAATAAACAAAAACCAAAAAACAAACAAAACACTATACAATAAAATATTTTCCACCTATCAGATTGGTAAAATTTAAAAAGACTAAGAGTACAGTTTGGTAGTTAGGGTATAAGTAACTAGGCATTCCTGTGTGTTGCTGGTGGGAGTGTAAACTGGTATAATCTTTATGGAAGTCAGTTTAGGAATAATTTTCAAAATTACAAATATACATCTTTGACAGAGCAATTTCACATATGGGATTTTTCCCATATTGATATAGTTGTATATGTACAAAATAACTTGTGTTTAAGGTTATTCATTGTCACACTGAAGGAAGAGTAGTAAGACTGAAAGCAACTGAATGACCACCAGTAAGCACTGGTAGAAATATACAGGTAGAATATCCCTAATCCCAAAATCCAAAATCCAAAATGCTCCAAAATGTGACACATTTGAATGCTGACATGACGCTCAAAGGAGATGCTTACTGGAACTTTTCAGATTTGGGGTTTTTGGATTAGGGATGCTGAACTGGTATAACGCAAATATCCAAAAACACTAAAACCTTCCGAAATTCAAAACACTTCTGGCCCCAAGCATTCTGGATGAGGAATACTCAATCTGTATCATGCCACATACATACAATGAGATATATCTATAGCTACAGAAAGCATAAAGAGGGGACTTTTTATGTTCTGAAATGGAATGAGTGTCAAGATATAATAGTAAATGAAAAAAGCAAAGTAAATTCTACCATTCATATAAAAAAAGTGTGGAGAAGAAGATATAATTAGGCAATGTTTGTGAACCTATAAAGAGCGGCCATGGGGGTACCAAGAACCTGAATGTTAGTATCATTTGGCTTTGTGGGTGGGGGTACTGCAGGGATTCTACTGGAGTGGGAAGTCTGGGAATAAAGGGAGATTTTTTGTGATATATCGTTTGGTACTTTTGGAATTTCATGTCATGTGATTATAAAACCTAGTCATAATATAAAAATTTATTTTTAAAAATGGAAATGATGAAAAAATAGGTACTGACTATAGGTATGTAATAGTGTGGTATGGTGGGTGATTTTTTTTGTCATTTTTCATTTTTAGTAACTGTTGGTATTATCTTGCTAATCATGATATTCCTCAGGAGGAAGACAATGAGAATGACCCAAAGGCTATTGTTCTCAAAGGAGTGATGTGTGGCTGAAGGCAAAATCATTAAGGCGTTACCCCACCCTCCCTGCAGATGAAAGATCAAACCCTTACCCATCAGATCCGGGTCTGGAAGGAGCATTGTCAGATGAGTTTGAAGAGGTGGAAACCACAGAGGACGTGACTGAGGTGATGGACAGCCTCCGCAGAGTGGAAGACATGATGTAGGGCAGCACAATAGACCCCGTGCGGCTTTGCTTCCTCTCCCTCAAGTTGGGTGGCTGAAAACATATGACTCCACATGGTTAGCGGGCCTGGAATCCAGCCCCTGTGAACTTGCACAGCTGCCCTGTTGGCTTGTGGCTAACCAGCACCCATCCGTATTGGCTGGCACCCCATTCTGATTGGTTGGTGCCTGTGCTGCCTCTATTGTTAAATATTGCACATACTGATATTGTTAGCTATACGTACAACTTAGATTAAACCTCCCTGATTCTAAGACTAGAGACAAAGTTGTCATAATTTTCTGCTACCTACATGAGAAAGGAAAAAATTAAGATGTGCCTCACACTCTCCAATAAATAGCAAAACCTTCCGTCTGCTTCCCCAGCTTAGCTTCTTTCAGTCTTTTAAAACATGGAATATTGGGGTAAGAGAAAATTTTTAGATTGACACTGTAGATGTGCAGCTTAACCTGGTGAATCCTACATTCTCTAGAAATGTCACCAGTAGGATTACTCCCAGATGCCACCATATGAAACTGACTCACTAATACTGGCCTAATTCTAACAATGACTAAGCTCATTAAATCCAAGACATAGTCTTTGCTGTCTAGGAATGTGTGTGCAAAAGACAAATGCTCCTAGAAAAACTCTTAAGTAGTAGCAGGTTAGGAGGCACAATCTTAGGAAGATGGCAGGACTGAACACTTAATGGCTGAAAGACACGGTCAAAAAGACCCTGGAGGAAACTGTACTGAAGGTGGGCAGACAGGAATGCGGGAGAAAAGAACATGAAAAGAAACTCAGAGCTTTGGTTTGAGGAAATAATGTGAAAATAAGGGGTTTAAGAATAAGACCATTAAAGGGCTGGGCATGCTGGCTCACACCTGTAATCCTGGCATTTTGGGAGGCTGAGGCAGGAGGATCGCTTGAGTCCAGGAGTTGGAGGCCAGCCTGGGCAACATAGCGAGACCTTATCTCTACAAAAAAGTTTTAAAAATTAGCTGGGTGTGGGCTGGGCACAGTGGCTCACACCTGTAATCCCAGCACTTTGGGAGGCCGAGGCGTGCAGATCACGAGGTCAGGAGATCGAGACCATCCTGGCTAACACGGAAGAAAAAAAAAAACCGTTGGTTTCCTGGCATGCATTTCCAGCTAAGAGATGCAGGCCTCATTTTTTTCTCTCAAGACTTCAGTGGGCAGCGGTAGAAAACATCACTACCAAATTCGGTCTAAGACTTAAACCACTTAAACCAGTTGCTCATCCACGGAAGTGCCCAGGCGCCTGTTAGATTTGCCTCATCCCACAGCCCTTCCCCAGTTTAGGGCTAACCTGTATTCTTGGTGTGCACATTTCTCACATCATTGACCAAAGGTCCATCCAGTCCACAAGCCCTACACTGAGAAGTGGCCTTCCTGTTGTCCAGTACTATGTCTACCAGTTTACCTTTCCACCCCATCCCTCCCTTCTCTCGCCTTCCCCAACCAAATCAAAACGATCCCTCTTCCTGAGGCACGTTTCACTCCTTTTTTGCCCTTTTTTCCAGATGCCTCTCTGCTAACGGAAGGGATCCGCATCCATGGGGAGAAACTGACAGAGCAGCTGACAGCCGCTGCATGAGCGGTGTGTCTTCTTGCTTCCGG